TCTATGACCTTTGCTATGCAGGAAGTCAGACAGACTAGATATCCTAAAGTTCCTTTCTAGCCTTCATATCAATTAATCTGTAGTCAGGACCTGCAGCTTCACATCACCCGTTAATAATGTGCTGGGACACTGTTTCACTGCTGACTCGAAGAGAATAGTAAACACCATTTCCTGCTGTATTTAAGGTTTTGGTCTCTCATCCATAGTTTTTTATTGTTATTTTTAGCCACCTCTAATGCTTTACAAAGTGACAAAGGCTCAGCCCAAGGTAATATAGCTACCAGCATAGCTCTGCTAACAAGCCATGTAATTTAAACGAAGATGCTAGCCACCAATGAGCAGTGTGATGATGGGTCGTCTATGCTTTGGACTGGATGAAATATTTATTATTTTACCATTTTAGCCCTCCTTCCCTGAGCCAGTCATTTGTGTTCATTTAGGAAATGAATGATCAATTCCTTTCTGGAAATGTGCCAGATACTCATGTGTAATGTCACTTAGCAGTCTAGTCTCTTGTATGTCTCTCCCTCATACTGTCAAAACAGTTTGATGCATTTGCAGAGTGACAATTCATTAGTGACTTTTATATTGAGGGGAAAATTATGCATACATAATAGAAAAATGCTAAACACAAAGTGCTACATTATTAGTTAACATATGGAACTTTAGTACTGGAAAAGTACTATAGGTTGAACCTCTCGGCTCCAGCAACTTCTGTAGTCTGGCATCACTGGGGACCTGTGGGTGTTCTGGGGTTGGAGTACTCAGGGGGAAAAACCAGTGCAGCAAGACCACAGATGTCTGCCCCCAGACCACCGGGCAGGTGGCTGGTGACTGGGAACGGGGCTCAACAGCCCCGTTTGGAAGCTAGAGCCCATCTGGAACCATGGGCAGGGAGCTGGCAGCCAGGAGTATAGCTTAGTTGGAGCTGGAGCTCAGTTGCCAGGAAGAGTAGATGTGCTTTTTTGGCATCCCTGTAAACCTCGTTTTACGAGGAAGAAGGGATGTTCTGAAAAAGGGGTTTTTTCTGACATTTGGCCCATCTACACTGGGCCAAATATCAGCAAAGCCTCTTTCGAAAAAAGAAGCAGAAAAAGCTTCGCAAATTGCGGTTTGCAATTTGCGTAGCTTTTTCTGGAAGGATAGTGTAGTGTAGACATATCCAGGGCCACACCCAGGTCATAGCAGCCAAGTGTCCCTGTCAACCAAGCCACCATCGCTGGCAGCCTGGGAACCCAAGAACTGATCAGGGTTGGCGACTGGCCAAGCAGGCTAAGGCACATGAGTGGGGAAGCTTGTCCTACTGCTGGCAGGGCTGGGCCTGCTTTACAGAGAACAGGAAGGTTCAGCCAGGAGGGGCATCTGATCTGTCCCATTCCTTAAGGCAGCCATCCAGCAGCTTCACCATTAGTCCATAGGGTGACTTAAGGCAAAGTTTCACTCTTCCCCGCCCCACTTCCCTGATGGCCAGGGGCGGATGAGAGTTTTGTGGGGTCCAGAGAATTTCACGGGGCCTTTGGAGAAAAAATAGAAAAAAGGCGTCAAATGGGCAAATTGAAAGCTATTTTAATATTAAATGTGAATTGGGTAAATTTGATAGAAACTTAATTTAGTTGGATAATTTTTATTTTAATTATATTGTAAGTTATTCTTAAACAAAATTCTGCGTTAATAATTAAAATTTTTCATTTGTATTTAAGTCTCCTCCCACTCCTGCCTCTCACTCTCTTTCTCTTCTCCTCCCCCTCCTGCCTCTCACTTGTGGAGCCCAAACAGCCGTTTGTGCCACTTGCTCCCGCGCGGCAGCCTGGCTGAGTGGCGCAGAACTCAGCTGAGCCCAACGGCGGGAAGCAAAGGTGGGCGGGGCAGTGACGTACATGGCTGGGGGCGGGACCTGGAGCCTCTGTCACACCCTTCTCCTCCCACCGTGGCACTCTGCTGAGTTCTGTGCCACTCAGCTGGGCCGCTGCGCAGGAGCAAGCGGCACAAGCGGCTGTTTGGGCCCCGTGCGGCGGCTCGGCGCGGGGCCTATTGCAGAGTGATAGCATGAGGGGGGTGATCTGAGGACAAAGATT